CTTAAGTACATATGGTGTCCCTTCTAATGTTTTGTTTGGTCTTTATTGGTTTCCAGATCAAAAGACTACAAAACCGATGACAAGAAGGAATCTACCCCGGAAACATAGCAGGCAGCTGAAGGGTGTGCAGCCGGAGTCTACATCTGATCGGGCAGAAATTCGTTTGCATAAAAGTCTTCATGTGACTGTTAGGGGATCAGTATGAACGCTGTTAACCTTTAGCACACAGAAGAAGCCGTCTGCCTACAAATTAACATTAATTTCAGGGTTTGTATTTTATCTTTTGTATCACTGCCGTACTTTTTGTATGTGCGTCTGCCGTCACCAGGTAGCTGAGTCGGCCTGCGCTGACCCGAGTAATGACATGTTTTATTGCCAACTAATCCAAATGCCAGGGGTAGGCAATACGGAGCAATGTCGAGGCAACGCTCGTGATTGTATGTATGAAATAGGGGATTTATTTCCAATTCTTTTGTAGTGTGGTAGTAGAGAACGCGTTGTTAGTCATGGGAAAATTCATGTTGTGTTTCTGATTACAGTGTAAAATTGACTCCAGGGACAGGCTAATATTCATTACCCTGACCACGCTGAGAGCGTTGACTGCAAAGTGAAAAGTAGAAAAATTGCGCTATGCACAGCCATTCTGATGAAATTCAAGTTTTGCGAGAAAAACGGGCCCACTTTAATTTGCACCATAGCAGCAGATAAGAAACCATCTTACAGGGACGTCAGTACCATTATATTTGTACGCGTTTGCAACAAGTTTTGTGTTACATGCTGAACTCGACAGTACTCGTACATGACTTACCCATCATCCAGGATTGAAGGATGACGAGGGACATGCTTTTGTAAAAGATAGATAATAACACACTTTTCTGTTCAGGTTAATTTGACTCGATCCGACTGTGTGTGACTGTACGTGTCATCTATTGATTACAACCCGTCCGTTTCTACAAGAGGCTGCAACCGCTGATCGGCCAAAGGCGATGGCTCATTTCATAGAAAGAGCGAATTTTCATGGAAAAGAAACTTCATGGTTGACCGTGCATGACATTTCACGACCTCGTGTTTGCCAGGCACACAGCCATTACAGAAACAAGCCACACTAATTCATACACAATGGCGTGTTTGTGGCTTTTTCTGGCTCTACTGACGAGAAAGGTTGTGTCATTTTCTAGTTACCACGATTACATGATGGCATGTTTGTCACGCCAAGGGCTCATTTGGGCGCCGCATTTAAACATCATTGGTCACGCACGGAGCTCTACTGACCCAAAAGGTCCTGTCGTTTTCCAGGAAATGTCTTCAGCTAGTGCCGCTGCGGCGGCCAAATATGGATGCGAATGAATGTGCTTTTGAGCCCAGCTATTCGGTCGTTGATGAAGTAAGAATATTTTGGAGGGATAAGGAGGGAAAACGTCTCTGGAGAACTAAGTGGAGAAAACTGTGCCATAAGTGCCCAAAGACCCTCCTTCCACTGTACGAAGATCGCGCTTCACTATACATACAGTGACCAAAACTGAATTTGTGCAACCCTTGGCTTTATCATGGGACGCACGATCGGAAATTATTAAAAGACATTCAACCAAAAAAGAAAAAAAGTTTTATATCTAATAAATTTGTTGATCTAATAGATCTGTCGAATCTTTGGTCACTGACCAGTCGCAGACCCTAGTGAAAAGGAGGTTTCTAACAGAATCCTTTCCTATCTGGAGGCCGGCCAACTACATGAAACTTCATCAATAATGAATATATGACTCCCACCTCTTGTTTCAGGAAAGCCTGGTAGTTAGTCATGCCCAGCAGAGGGCAGGTAAAGATAAGGCTGTTCTACGAATCTCCTGCATCAGTAATGGTTACACACGCAGAGGTCAGACAGCCTGAACATTTCCACGAAAAATTTTCTACGCTTTTGTGCGTCATAGAGACCTTGCAGAAGAATGCCAAGGTCAGTCAAACAATAAAAAAAATTGGAGAATTCAAACCTCCGGGAAGTATACGAAGTTTTTGTGAATTTGTCGGAACAATTAAGAAGATGGTCTGACATAGTACAACGGACCTAGGACAGGCCAACTTGTTGTGACAAACCTTCAACGTATAATTTTGTGACAAAATTAAGCACTTGCGCATATTTACATGATTGTGTTTCCTATTCATCATTGAATGAGTTTTGTTGATATTTACTATGATGATCTTTATACCATCAAGGTTATCATAATTACGTAATAAATACAAACAAGAAGCCATAGGCGACAATTCTCCGTGAAGTATTATATATTGCAACAAAAAGAAGTAGCCATTGGCGACAATTCTCTGTGAAGTGTGATAAATCGAACAAAGAAAAATTGTTTAAACGCGCGTCGGCTCAGTCATCTTAAGACGCAACAACCAATCAGAGATGCGAGATGCCTACACGTGACGCGGGAAGGGCGCGCGATGCCCGAAATATTTTTGCGTCAATATTCAGCGCCGTGATTCAAGAGATTAATACCCGGAAACAATTTTTTTCTTGTTTTGAACGCATTAACATGCATTTACGCTAATCTAGTATGATTCAGGGTTACTTTTTTTTAACCTGCCATGGCCAGATTATCTAAAGATGTGTGTATTGTGTGTACAATCTATAGAAAGAGAAATGTACATCAGGTCCGATCATCCGATTTTCACGTTTCGGTTTTTTGGACTCGGTTCATGAACGTATTTTGGTTTGGCTCCTGGAATGTGCAAAAAAATGACTCCCGGGACTGTCTACAGGGAACACTCGCATATTCGCGGTGTATCAGGACAGCGCGACTGGTCGTCATTAGCGCAGTAACAGTTGCATAAACGGACGAAACCATTTCAAAGAAATGGGGATGTTTCGAAAATAAGCATTTACTCCAATATCAAAACAGCTACGGTAAAAATAAAAAGACGTGCATCATCCCGGACATAATGCAACACCACATGCGAAATTACACAGAAATGCGACGTACGGAAGAATGCGTTTTGGCTGCGAACATCTTCCAAAAAACTTGGCATCTCTTAACCATGGGCAAAAACATCTGGAACCACTTATAAAAACCACCCCGTATCTGCATGAACTTTTTTGAACCCCACTGCTATTCCAAACAACGCGTTTTTCTGGACCATTCCAATTCGCCTCGTAATTGTAGGGGTGCGTCTGCGATATTACATTGACCGCGAAAGCAGCAACGGCAAAAATACACATTCGTGCATCAACACGGGCATGCCCGCAGACGGCGTATAAAATTGCGTGCCGATTACACAAAGAGAACCCAGTGTTTTGACTGCGAACATGAAAAATCAGCCGATTACAACACTCCGTCCGGAGGTCCTGACCTCCTTCACGGAGTAATAACTGTATTTTTAGTCTCTTTGAGTTTTTGTATGGCAGACAAGACACATTCATTCTTGTTTAACCATTGTTTGTGTAAATATTTTTGACATTACCGGCATTCAAAACATTATTAATTCTTGAGTTTTTTTTTTACCATAATGTTGTAATCTAACACAGCTTAAATTTCGTTGTTAACTGTCTGTTTCATTGTGTGAGTGTCCGTAGTTGTTTGTATACAGTAGAGTCACGGGAAGGCAGGTGGGAAACGGTGTAACCGCAGACTGACAGAAAGGTCGGTCGAAATGGAGCCTGGAGGAAATGACAGTGGAACATGCCCAGGATCGGGAAATCCCGAGAACTTCACAAAAAGGAATAAAGAAAGAAATTCTCAAGAATTCTGAATGTTTCATGGTGAGCAGCCCATCCCCGTCTGGTCAGGCGAGTACCGTGAGTTAGGGACTCTCCAGGACTCCGTCATTCGGCGGCAGACTTTCGGCAGGTTTCCAACTACTAAGTATGTAGTCAGTGTTTGGCAGAATCCTTGGCGTTTAGAAGGCTGGGTGATGATGGGAGGACATCCAGCTGCTCACTCGAGTGGTTCGACCTTAACAGGCCTGGTGATATGCCGTCTGCTGAGCTGACCATCACACGTAAATGGGCGAGGAAAGACTCCAATTTCACATGAAACATGTCCGGCATTTGGATGTGGATTTGTACTTGCAGTTGCCCTTCATCTTCAAATCAAATCTTACAGAATGTTAAGTCTGGGAGGTTGTGCCGCATGACGACTGCTCTAAAACATAGATGTCCATCGAACCTTATGACCCATTTATTAATAAATAAAACTAAAACTGGACTTAACCCCCAAATCTCACTGAACAGGATCTAAAGAACCTGCCCAAATATTCCATGCATAACACGTGCACGGAAAGCTCGTGCCCGCACTTTCAGAGATCCCTATATCTTACTTTTGAGCCCAAAGAAGCCGATTTGATCGTCATTTTGGTGGACTAGATAGCGGAAGTGAAATGCTTGGGCGCGCTTCAAACGACAGCGTTCCCTGTCCTTTATCATGGTTGATGTCGCCCATGAATCTTTGATCACACAACAGGATTCCGTCTTAAGTCTTTATGCTCCTGACACCCATGTATACACCTGGATGTGCGAAGTTAGTTAACGTTCAGCATACTGAAGTAGCCGTTTGGCTAACAACAGTACCTGGAATACTAGTATGAGGCAGCAGGGAGGAGTTTAAGCAGCACTATCTTCATCAAAGACCTAAACCTTTTTTGTGAATTCATATGGGCGCTTGGTCTTTCATGTCTGATATGAATAGATATGGCTTTTCTTTCACTGATAATGAGGGCAATGGGAAGTAAGCGTACAAGAACCAATTGCTTAGATGTGTTGAAATGCATAACTCCAGTGTCCAGCAAGACAACTCTTTAGTACAAAAGACTTGATGATGGCCGGCAAAGGAGCAAAAATTAATCTACACATCAAGAGTGGGCTACACAACTGTAGCCCACGCACTTAACAGGATTAGTCATTCATCTTTTCATGCCTTCTTTCGCCATACTACCCCGCTATTTCTCACTGCCTTTTTGTTTAGCTTTTGTCTGTACTTACTCGATTTCTGTACCGATTACTGCTATTGTTAGTATCATTTTCTAAGGTTTGGTATGTGTCGTATGATCGTAACTACATATTCTTTATCATCACTTAGACTCCACTGAAGATGCCAGCTGCATCGGTACCTTATAACTAGTATTCTCTGTGAATTTCTAATAAACAAATGAATACGTACATACATAAATGTTTTAGTATTGGACTGTGGTCTTGATATTTCATCCGTTGCATCGTATTATTACCACCCAATGTCATGTCAATGTTCAATATCTAACATTTACGCATTTACATGAATCATTTTCCACTGTGTTACACCCTATATTTTGCAAGTCAACCTTGGTATATGTTGTACCGCAGGCAGGCAAGTAGAATAGCAAAGTTGTATCAAAACTTGCTACATTTTGTCCCTAGAAAATATCAATTTTGTCCTGCAGTAGATGTTAATTGTATCAGTTTTGTCATGGTAACAGAGGGAATACTACACTGGAGAATGATGTAGTGCAGTTTTACTAAGAACGCTTGGTACGCATCGTACTCATAAAGCATCCTTTTCACCAGACGCTGATTCCTGTGCGATCGTACAACGACCAAAACTGGATTTCTGTCACCCTTGATTTCATAATCACATGCAACGCAAGATTCCACAATATTACTTAAAAGACAACAA